GCTCCCTCACTGCGGGCGCCCGCGGCGGCCGGTCCCCGATGAAGGGACCTGCGGCCGGCGGCTCGGAAGATAAGCTCAGACCCAGACCCCGGATCTCTAATCCGGCGGAGCCCTGACCGTTTCCTTTGGTCGGCTGGCCAGTCGCGGACATGTCTGTTACCGTCAAAAACGGTGTTTTTATTCCGCTCAGAGCTCACCTGGCAGAGCTTGAGGGAGGACCTTGATGTAATTTTTAGATATTATTCTACTTTAAAATGTTTTCCCGCAAAACATCAATGTTACATTGATGATAAGGATTTTTCCCCCTTAGTTTAATGTTGGCGCAGTTTGGGTGTTTAGCCTTTGTTAGAAGGAAGGAAATGCGGAATGGGGATTTGGGCGTGAGGAAGTGTGATTTCTAATGTTTACAATATTTAAATGCACAAGTGAAAATAATTCATCCACATTATTGACCCCCACTAAAGCATACCCCTCTTCTTGTCCGTATTCCTGTCGTGACCTGGTCTATGCCATTATTGCCCAGTTTTGATTAGAGTAGACGCAGTTCTCTTATTCACTTAGCATAAGCACTTTTGCATAGTCTTGGATATTTATCGTTTTTATTATATTGAATGTATATTCAGAGTTTTAGTTACCCCATTATGAAACCTTTCCATATGTCCAGTGTTCTTCCTCTTAAAAAAATGTAGCAGTCACCATCATTGAGCATATAGCTCTTTCTTTCCTTGGAATAAATTCCCAAAGGGGGAAATACTGAATCAAAGTTATATGTTCTTTCTTTGGCACTTGATATAAATTGTTTTCCAAACAAGGCATGTTCTACTATAGACATTTTTCAAAATCTGGGTATTTGTCTGATTCTGCTCACTGTACTGTGGAATTCAGCGAGGTATCTGGTCGTTTTGTGTGGTGTGGGGGACAGGCTGCTGTTGTATGTAATGTCGGTGCTACAAGTCAGACAGAAACTGAGGTAATGTCTGCTGCGGAGAGGCAGTGCAGCCTAGGGTGAGTTTCATCTCTAGGCTTCACTTCCCCCTGTCTAAAATGGCTCTGCTTCTAGTACCTGCTTTATTGAGTTGTAAGAATTCAGAGCACTCAGAGAATGGTGTTTGCCGTAAAAAAATGTTCTGATGGCAACACGAGCAAAGTGCCTGGGATCACAGAGGCCTGGAAGATTCATTCAATTTAGGTTTGCCCTTCTAGTTCTCTTCAATACTGGTATTAGAAAGAAAGCATATTCTCTTTGAGTGAGGTACCTCGCTAATAAAAATAATTCTTTATACATTATGATGCGTTTTAGTTTGCAGAGTACTTTCAATTCCATTTGTGAAGTCTTTGCAACTCAGGTCAGGCTTCATTCAACCAACATTTGTTACTTGACAAACGCTCGTGGCGCCTCTGCCACATGCAGGTGCTGTTCTGGCACTGGGTGTGCAGCAGAGACTATCACAGTGAAGAGTCGGCTGTGCTGGCCCTGAAGTCCTGGTGGGGGAAGCTGTTTTTACCAAGCAGTATCTCTGTTGTGGGGAGGGGCAAGGCCGGGTGACCTGCCCGAGGACTGGTAAGCTAGCCATGGTGGAAGGCAAACCACGCTCCTCTCGGGCCGGCTGTGGATGGGAGGTGTTGACACAGCAGCCGCTTTACAGGAGAAGCAGGCCGCTCAACTGCGAGCCTTCCTCCTCCGAAATGTGGATGCGCAGTTTGAAGTGACCGCCAGCACATCCGGAGTAAGTGGCCTTGCAGTGTGGTTTCCTGCGTGAGACAGCAGATCATCAGCTCTTGTTCAAAGAGGAGCGTGATTTGCTTTTTGAAAGGTGCTGAGGTTCTCTGAAAAGGCTGTGTTTTCATACGTGTTATAAATAGTTCTCACACATTCTAGAGTAAATTTGGGATAATGTAAAAGCATCTGTAGTTTCTGGGGGGAAAAATGGGAGTGTTCTCTTTGCTCTCCATTTCACACTAAAGCCTTATGCTAATAAGCCTTCTGCCGGCCCTGTCATGGCCATTATCACGTTTCTGAGGATCATCTTGAAAACTCACTTTTCTTGAAGTGTGGTGAAGAGCACAACTTGGATTTCCAGTAGGGAAAAGGAAAATTAAAACTAGCAACAGCCCTTATGTTTGAACAACTTGTGAAATGAGCAGTCACAGAGCGTGACTGTATGGATAACCATTTCCAAGTGGACTCCCTGCCTGTGCCGTTTTGAGGGTGGGCTTAGGTGAGGTTTTGATTGTAGAAAACTGGTATCTGAAAACTGGAACTGCAGACCACAGTCGGTGATGAAGGGCATTTAAACCGTGACCAGTAAGGAAAGGCTGCAGGAAGTATCCTGGAGAAGAGAATACACAGAGGCAAGGGACCCATCTTGAGATGGGTTGAGGACTGTCCTGTGGAAGAGAAAGTATGTTTCCCGTGAATGTTCAAGGACAGGACAAGGACGGGGAGGCGGCTGCAGGGAGGGGAATCTCAGTGTGTCCTAAGGAAGAATTTGGAATGGACCGGCCCTCAGGACGTTGGCCTCAGGCTCTGGGGCTGTTCAGGCATCTGGAGTGGTTCCTTGGCAGGGGTCCTGTAGATGGGCCAAGTTATGTTCCAGGTCTCTTCCTGCCCCTCAGATACTTTCATTCTAAGTGTTCCAAGTCCTCTCAAGAACACTGTTGTACTTTAAGGAGCTTCTTATTTGAAGGGTGGGGGGTGTAAGAAGATGGCTACTCCATGCCTATTACTGTACTTATTTGGTAGATAACCAAAATATTACAAGTCGATTCATGTGTAGCTTCCATTTACCAAGCATGTCCTACACGTGGGGCACTGTGTTAAGTGCTGTACAGAAATTAGTTTTACAGTAATCCTGTAGGGTCAATATTCATAGTTGGATGGATGAGGGAATTGAGGCTAAGAGAGATGAATTGATGCAAGGCCTAGAAGTGAATTAGGAGAAGTAGGACCCAAGTTGCAAACATGAATTTGACTACAAAGCCTGTATTTGTAACTAAGGAGAATGTTTTGTTTTTATTGTTGATTCCTTTTCCAATCTGTATTCTCTTTTCTTAAATACAGACACGTATTGGTTGAGAGATGGTGTTAGAAGACACCTAAGATCTCTTCCAACTCTGACTATTGATGATTGAGTATGTTATTTCTTTCATTTACAGCAGCCACTCTGGCCCACACTGTGCTATAAAGCAGAGGTCAGTGGACTTTCTGGAGAGGGCCAGATAATATTTTAGGCTTTGCAGCCCATCCTCAACTCTGCCATTGTATCCATAGACATTTTGTCAACAATGAGTGTGGCTGTGTTCCAGTATAGTTTTATTTACAGAAATAGCTTTTGGAGGGACCTGATTGGGCTCGTGCGCTGTAGTTTGCTGATCCCTGCTCCAAGGCCGCTTTCCGTGGTAGACTCCAGTGGTCCTCCTTGGTCTCCTTAGGGCTTTGGTCAGTTGTGCATACGTTTCTGTTTGTAGTTCATAGACGTTAGGTAAATTCCGTTGTAGTGCTCCAGATTTCCCCTTGTGGAATGCCCCTTAAGAGGCGCTCTGTGGGGCAGTGTATTTTCGTAGCCTGCTGGTGGGACTGTAAATTGCACCACCCCATGACCTAGTGGTTCTGTTCTTGGAGTTCCTGCAGAGAGACACGCACATGTGCGCAGGAGGCCTGTTTAGAGTGGTGACCTGCTAAATGTGGCATCTCCCCACCATGGAATACTGGCAGCAGTTAAAAAGGGCACGATGGGTCTATATTTTCTAACCTGGGTTGTCCAAATGTATTGTTTAACAAAAAAGCAGATTATAGATAGATTTGTATGATGATCTTTTTTTGTGTTAGAAATGTATTTTTATGGATATTTTTTATAGGGGTCACGTGTGAATGTGTAAAGGCCTGATGGTGTCCATATCAAACTAATAAGAACTGTCACTTCCAAGAAGGTGGGTAGGAAGAGCCTGGGATTGGGACTGGTGACTTTAGCCTAAACTATGATGTTTCAACGCTTTAGTGAGAATGTGTTTTTGTATTACTTGTGTAATTAAAATTTAAGAATAACAAAAAAGAGCTGCTCGGCTTGAGCCCTTTCCTAATCTCCACCAGCCTTCCCAGAGCCATCCCAAGTAAACACATGTAAACATATATGAGGAGATGCCGTGGGCTCGCCGGGGAGGTGCCCCCTCTCCCGTCGGTTGTTGCTCCTGTGCTCAGTCCCACACGTTCCTTGCGCGGTAAGGACAGCTCTGAGTGGAGGGTGGACGAGTGCGTTCACGGGCCTGGGGTTAGAACCTCAGCCCTGAGCACTTGTGAGCCAGGCTCTTTTCTGTTGGTGCCCTGCTGCCTGTCACTTGGGTGGTCGCTTCACTTTCCTGTAAGGTTATTATCTGGTCAGCCTTGTGTTCCAGTAGAGGAAAATGCGGATGACAAGGTTAGTTTTAGACATGACTCAGGGCATCGGAGAGGCAGCTGCAAGGCCGGGGGAGGTTTTATGGGAAATATTGGGAGGTATTACGGGAAATACCTCCGTACAGGAAAAGCTGGGCAGAGATGGGTTGTTTGTTCGTTGTTGGAGGATCAGTCAGTCCATGTCCTTGCTAATGGCTCTGCCATTTCTCTGTGTGTTAATCCAGGAGGAATTTTGTTGTCAGAGAATAAAAGGAGTTGGTCCATAATTGACTTTAAGCAGCAGACAGTAAAACACTGAGCTCTTCAGCTCCGCCTTTCTTGTAAGTCTATCATTTGTTCCCAGTGGTCATGAAAACTAATTAAATCTTATGATAACATATTTCCATAAATTTGGAACCTTAAAATCCAAATGAACTTCTATTTGTCCATATATGTATTTAATGTAAAACACTCCATTATGGTGAAAACTAATTTCCTTCAACTTAAGTCATTTGCTATTAAAAAAAAATCCATTCAGGTGTATTTCATATCACATGACAGTTCTTAATATGTTTTGTATCCTTCTAGGCTCTGAGAATTGGAAAACCAAGAAGGTTTTGATGTTTTGTGTGGCGCCGCCTGAATTAGAAACCAAGATGAACATAACCAAAGGAGGTCTGGTGTTGTTTTCAGCAAATTCTAATTCGTCGTGTATGGAGCTTTCCAAGAAAATTGCTGAGTGAGTTGTAATCAGCCATTAAATCTGTATTTGTTATGTGATGTTTTAAATTTGATAATTGGATTAGCACTGATTGTTAAACTTGAAAGCAGATATTTTATAGTTAATCTGCATGTTGTTTATATATTAAGGGCTTACCTTTTTGTAAACTATCGTAACTCCCTACACATCTACTCAGCAGACGTTTAGTGAGTGCCTCGTGAGTGCCAGGGATTGTGTGAGGTGCTCCATATGTGTAGAATTACATGAGTATAAAGAATAGTGACACGTATGCTATATGAAAATAGTCTGTAGATTATAGTTCAGTATAATTTTAGTTATTTATTAACAGACATTGAACCCCTGCTATGTACTAGGCCTTGACCTAGATGTTGGGGATTAACAGTGAATAAGCCAGTCAAGATCCTTTCTGCTTAAATTTAGTAGGGGAGCCAGACAAGAAGCAAGTCAACAAAACAAACAAGATAATTTCAGACTGGGATAAATGCTATGAAGAAAACAGTGTGAAAGGAATGATGAGGGTCAGTTATTCTGCTTTAGCTTGGCTGCTCAGGTGGCTTTTAAACCAAGGGGATGGTATGTGAATTGAGAAACCTGAATGAGCCACCAAGTGAAAGTCTGAGGGTAGAGCCCTCCAGGCAGAGGGAACAGCAGGTTCAAAGGCCCTGTGGTATGCAGCAGGAGGTGTAGGTGTATCTCGGGAACACAGCTGGAGGACAGAGGGCACAAGGAAATGGTCGGTGAGTCAGGCAGAGCAGGACTATGTAGGCCTTCCTGGGTAGACATGGGGTGGGGGTGAGGGGTTAGGGAATGGAGTGACAGAACAATTTAATATCTACTTTAAATTTTATAATGAGTACCTCTATTTTATTTTGTTTTTATCAACTTATGAATCATCCTTAAATAGTAAAGATATTGAGTCTATTCTATTACCTTTTCAGCTTTTTCCCCCTTTCTCTTCTCCAGGCGGCTGGGGGTAGAGATGGGCAAAGTGCAGGTTTACCAGGAACCTAACAGAGGTGAGCTATCTCGGACATGCGTTTTGTGGCATATGACATACTGGCTCAGTCCTTCATCCTGCACTGTTGAAACAGTTAGACTAAGTGTCAAGTTAGTTCCATTAGCAGGAAGTCAGGCAGGCAGGGTGGGTGAGAGTGGTGTTTTAGCTCCCGCTCGTACTGGCTGGATATAGAACCCTGGGGCAGGTCACATCTGGGGGCTTGAATTCCATGCTTAGACTGCATCCAATAATAACGGCATAGATACATGTACCTGCTGGTCGGCTGAATGGAAACATTAGCTCATAGTTGTTTGAATTTGTGTCACCTTAGGCAGGAAGAGTAAATCCTCTGTGGCCACAATATTAATTGGTTGTTATTCTTTCTCTCTCTGTAAGCCGCCATGAGTTAGACTTCATGAAATCTTGTTAGGGAATGCTTTTTGCCAATTGATTTATGTCATTACATAAAAATCTCAAGTTGTAAAAAACGTGTTTTATTTAATGTTTGTAATTTCTGTAGAAATGGTGGATATTTGAAATTCTTCTGGCAGGAGGAATGGACAGCTTGCATGGGCTTGAGAGTCAGACAGCTTATCCTTGGCAAGTTATTTGACCTTTCTAAACTGCAGGTAATTAGGCTGTTTTGAGGATTAAATGGGATAATTTGTGTGCCTAACACAGCTCCTGGCACATAGCAGGTGCTCAGTAAATACTGGTTCCCTCTCCTTTTCCAGTGTGGGATTTTGTCAAGTACTTAAATATTAGAGAACTTACAAGAGACTTTGATGAAAAGGCAAAAGGAATTTGCTCTTTCCCTATTTATATTTCCATTACTGCCTCCTCTTTCCTATTTCCCAATATCCCCCATGTGCCTTCAGTAGGAAAAAAGTGTAATTAAAGAAAATATGTCGGAAGAGTTTGGAGAAGATTCTGCCGCTAAAGGGAATTGGATGATGCCGTTTGTCTAGTCTGGAAGGGAGGGCTAAAGGAGAGCTAGTGTAGAAGACCCAAGAGAAGGTGGGTCCACCCTTCAGGTTCATGAATGAGGGAGAGAAAGTGTATGGTGTCTGTTGGGCAGGAAAGAGGGAGCTAGCATTGTGGATTCCATACTGTTACCGGATACGGAAGAACTGAATCCGATGATGTTAGGTACGAGGTCCTGGAAGTAGCAGAGTCAGGATTCAAATCCAGATCTCCCCGACTCCAAAGTTCGTTTTCTTTCCATGGTACCACATTCTTTTGTAAGCCCATATTCTATTTTTTCTACCATTTTTAAAGATTTTATTTATTCCCCAAAGCCCCAGTGGATAGTTGTATGTCGTAGCTGCACATCCTTCTAGTTGCTGTATGTGGGACTCGGCCTCAGGATGAACGGAGAAGCGGTGCCTCGATGCGCACCCGGGATCCGAACCCGGGCCACCAGCATCGCAGCGCGCGCACTTAACCACCAAGCCACAGGGCCGGCCCTTTTCTACCATTTTTAATGAAAATATTCAAACCTATAAAGAAGTTAGAAGAATAGTCCAGTGAATACCCATATGGATGTCTCCCACCTGGATTCAACAGTTAACATTTTGCTATATGAATATGTATGTGTGGAACCATTTGAAAGTAAATTGCAGACATCAAGACACTTAACCCCTGAATGCTTGCCCGTGCATCTCCGGAGAATAAGGACTTTTTCCTACATAAATACACTACCGTTGTCACATCTAAAGAAACGAACGATAATTCCTAATCGTCTAATATCTAGTCTATATTTCAAATTTCCCTAGTTGTCCTAAAGAGCCTTTTATAGCTGTTTTTTTTTTCAAACCAGGATTCTTGGTTCAAGTGATGTGCTTTTTATATCTCTTTAGTTTCTTCTAAACTAGAACAGTCCCTTCACCTTTTTTTTTTAATTCCCATTACATTGACTTTTTGAAGATTTTGTCTTGTAGAATGTCCCATTCTGGATTTGTCTAATTGTTTCCCTGTGGCTGATCGCAAGTGTTTTGAGAGTAGGGATATTAGACCTTATTTATCTTTACTCTGACAACATTATTATAACATTTTGTTCCTAATAAGTTCTTAATTGTTGCTGGTTGAATGAATGAGTATATAATTTCCTATAAAGATACTCTGCTCAGAGTTTTACAGCACTCCGTACTTATATATGAGAAATGAGAAGGGGAGATTTACTTGTTTTTTAAGTCAGAAATGTAATTCCTTCTTAAGCGTGTCATGTAACTTAACATGTTTTAAAAAATGTGATTAATGGCAGTGTGTTCATTATCTTTTATCACATCTGAAGCCTAATGAGTTTGTAACAGTTCCAGTTTCCATATTTTATAACATTGGGAAATGCTGCAGATTTTTTGTGTATTTTTAAAAATGTAAATTATATGCCTTCTTCACCCCTACCCTCTTTTTTCTTTTCCTGCCAGAAACAAGAGTACAAATTCAGGAGTCCGTGAGGGGAAAAGATGTTTTCATCATCCAAACTGTTTCAAAGTGAGTACTTATCCAACAGAAGTGTTGTTGCTTTCTGGGTTTCTGTTTGGGAATGACTGTTGAGAATAATAAGAGTTGGCTAGACAGGAAGAATTGAGATAGTTTTAAAATTGGTATGTCTTACTCTGCTAATTTTTCTGATATAACTGCTGACTTTTATGTATTCTTTCAGTGTTCTTAAAGGGTGGAAATAACGTAATAGAACCCATTAAATTTCCTGTCAGTAGCCAGAATTTTATACAACTTGCAGAGAAGCTCTTCTAGTTCCAAAAAAAAAAAAAAAAGAAAAAGACAGGAGGAGAGGAGTTTGCTTAGTTGGGATTCTTAAAGCCTTTACTTATTATTTTGTGCATAAATTAAATGAGCTGAGAGATAAAAGAATATATTGAAGGAATGTGTCTCCTGTCTAGTGTGACATTTGACACACGTGTGTTCTGGAAATTGTTGGGGTCAGAAATGTGTGAGCTGGGTATAGAAGAGTCAGTGCAGTGAGGCCATCTGTACCACTCTTTGGTCCAATGCCACCCTGTCCAGGAATGTGTCTCCTGTCTAGTGTGACATTTGACACACGTGTGTTCTGGAAATTGTTGGGGTCAGAAATGTGTGAGCTGGGTATAGAAGATTCAGTGCAGTGAGGCCATCTGTACCACTCTTTGGTCCAATGCCACCCTGTCCACAGATGTCCCTGAGTGCTTTTGTATATGAAAGTTCTTCACTCAGAGCGATTTTTTTTTTTTTTTTTTTTTGTGAGAAGATCAGCCCTGTGCTAACATCTGCCAATCCTCCTCTTTTTTTGCTGAGGAAGACGGCCCTGGGCTAACATCCGTGCCCATCTTCCTCCACTTTATATGGGACGCCGCCACAGCATGGCTCGCCAAGCAGTGCGTCGGTGCGCGCCCGGGATCCGAACCAGCGAACCCCGGGCCGCTGCAGCGGAGCGCGCGCACTTAACCGCTTGTGCCACCGGGCCGGCCCCTCAGAGCGATTTTTAATAAGGTCTAGAATTCAGTTTGTGTAGTGCACCAATTTTTAGCTTAGAGATTCCAGAAATTACTGCATGCTAAATTTGTGTTCGTATGTATAATAATAAATACCAAAAAAAAGGGAAGAAGAGCCAAATTTAGGAGAATTTAGACTTAGAACACACATATTTTCACCTAAATTTTGAACATCTCTGTCCTGGTCCTGGGTTCATCGGGATGAAATCTCGAAGCCATCTGACTCTTCTGGGAGGAGGGGGTGAGGGGACCTGTCATTGCATGCCATCGTCCTGGAGAGCATGTGTAACGTGAAGAAGGGAGTGGTGGCTTGCCTTTGCCACGGTGCCCTAGTTTCATTTCCTCCGTGCCACTTAGGATCCTCAGCAGAGCTGGGCGGTGGGGCATCGAGTTCGTGCTGCACCTGCCACCGCTCTCTTCTTTCGCAGGCCTGCCACAGGGCCATCGCGCTAGGAGAGCGCCCCTGTGCCCACACCTTACCCTGCACCCTCCAGCATCGGGGCGGGGAGAGTGCGGAGCACAGAACAGCTTACATCACTTCTGGTTCCTGGTGTTTGCATTACTTTGATCTCCTCAGAGACAAGTGTGATTCCATTTGGATAAATGCACAGAGGTTGTGTGCATTACCCAAGGGGATAAGTAGGATTGAAGGCCAAATTGGGCTTAGAATTCAGGACTTCAGAAGGGTGACTCTTGTAATCCTTCCTGTTTGCAAGTCCTTCCATTTCTTTCCTTTTATTTATTTTTGTTTGTTTCAGCACTCTTATCATTCTGCCCCTTCCTTTTGTCAGTTTCTTATCCCTTAGCCAAAATCACCTGCTTAATTTTCTCTGCGTGTCTCATTTTGCGTTGTTCTGAACTGTGCTGTAGGCTTGTGTTAACTCAGCGTTCTTAGTCTTCTCCAGGTTACAGAAAGCCTGGACATCGTGGTCTTTATGAAATAGTTAACCTTGAGATTTGGTGTTGTCAGATACATCTTATACTTCATTTTAGTACAGACTAGTGGTAGGCACTAAAAGTATAAGAAAAATTTTAAATTAAGAAAATTCTGTCCATTAACTTAACTTTTCCTGTACTACAAACAAGTTCATTATTTGAGTTTAGTGATGGAAAGCCTTTACCACCTCACAAAAGAATGGTGCTCCTGGGAGCATAGTTTGGGAACCTCGGTGTAACTTGACACTCCCCGTTGGTTTCTTTACTCTTATCCTTTCACATAGAATGCTTTTCTGAAAATCTGCTTTAGCTATTCAGATGTCAGGCTTCTTGTTAGATATTAACAGAAAGCCTACTCACCCAAATGTTCTGTGTCTCCATTCACTCATTCATTCATTTACAAATGTTTATTGAATGTCTGCTGTATGCTTGTCACTGTTACAGGTGTGTGAGATGCATTAATGACTGAAAGAGATAAAGATCCTTGTCCTCATGGAGTCTGTTCTAAGACGTGCGAATAACATAATCAATAAGTAGATTATCTAGTTTGTCAGAAGGTGATGAGTGCTATGGAAAAGCAAAACAAAACATCATGGCAGGAGGAGGGAGTAATGGTGAGAGAGAGGGCAGACGGGGTGGGCCTCGTGGAGAAGGAGACATTTGACAAAAACTGGAAGAAGGTGAAGAAGTAAGCCAGCTGGCCAGCTGGGGAGCAGAGCATTCCAGGCGGTGGGAGCACCTAGAGTGAGGGCCCTAAGAGAGCATTCCAGGCGGTGGGAGCACCTAGAGCAGGGGCCCTCAGATGGGAGTGAGGACTGACAAGGGGTCCAGTGCGGCCAGACTGAGGGGGCAATGCAGTAGGAGTGGAGGGCAGGGAGGCGGGGGTGAGTGGCAGACTATGAAGGAGCCTTGGGAGCCATTGTAGGGCCTTGGGCTTTTGCCATGGACAAAACGAGAAGCCGTTCCTAGCTCTTGAACAGAGGAGTGCATGGTCTGACTTTCACTTTAAGATCTAGCTGGATGCTATGTGGAGAGTGGCCTGCAGAGGATCTGCTGGAGGGGCAGGGAGACCTGCGGTAGCAGGCTGTCACAGTCACCTGGTTGAGGAGTGAGTGGCTCGGCCCCAGTGCGGTAGCAGAGTGGTGAGACTCTGTAACTTTTTGGACAGGAGAGCAGTTCAGGATGCCTCTGAGGTTTTTGTCCTGAGCACCTGGAGGAATAGCGTTCTCATTGACTGAGATGGCAAAAGTTTTATGGTGAAGCAGGCTTTTGGGGGCAAAGAGCAGTTCTGTTTGGGATGTGTGAAGTTTTGAGATGTCTTAACAGAGAGTCAAGTGGAATTGTCAAGTAGCACTTGAATTTGTTAGACTGGAGTTGAGAAGAGAAGCTTGGGCTGGAGCTGTAAGTTGGAGAGCCTCCAGCATTTATAAAGCTGTGAAATTGGATGAGACGCCCAAGGGATGAGGGAGATAGAAGGAAAAGGGGGCAAATGAATGAGTGTTAGGGCAGGAAGTTGCAGAGAAGAGGAACCAGCAAAAGAAGCGAAATGGAGCAGGAGAACAGTAAAGGGTCCTGGAAGCCAGTGAATCGAGTGTGTCAGGGAGCGGGGTGAACACCGTGCGATGCGAGGAGGCAGTGAGAGGAAGACTGAGAACTGACCGTTGGATTTAGCCACTGGAGGTCCTTGATGACCTGGAGTGGAATGTGTTTGGGAGAGCATGTGAGTAGATGAATCAGAGATAGTGAGTGTAGACAGCTCTCTTCAGATGTACAACACTGGGGAGCAAAGAAATGGGGCAGTGAGTGAAGTGGTCATGAGTTGTTTTTAATGGAAGAAATGACATACTGCTTATAGGCTGATGGGTGTGAGCCAGGGGAGTGTAACAGATTGATGACAGAAACAAGAGGGGGGGAATTGCTGGAGCATTCTCTTCAGTGGGCGAGAGGCGATGGGGGTTAGTGCGTGATTTGGAGGGCTAATTTTAGAGTAGCTTGGTGTGGAAGTTGGTCTCTGACGGCCGAGGGCAGCCGACTTGTAGGGTGCAGGTGCACGTGGCGTGGGAGCCCATGGGAGCTCTCTTATGACTGAGTGCTTTTCTCAGTGAGAAGGGAAGGAGGGTCATCAGCTGAGAGGGAATGTAGGGGGAGCTGATGGAGTCCCCGGAAGAGAGGAGTTTGTTGGTTGCTTTTTCGTGTCTTGGTAGAGGCATGAGTACCACATTGCTGACACTTTGTTGGACCAGGGAGATATCAAGCATCTTACGTTTCTTTCTGGGCTTTTCTGTCTCTTGGGTTACAGGGATGTGAACACCACTGTCATGGAGCTCCTGATTATGGTGTATGCGTGTAAGACCTCTTGTGCCAAAAGCATTATCGGCGTGATTCCCTACTTTCCTTACAGCAAACAGTGCAAAATGAGGAAAAGAGGCTCCATTGTCTCTAAATTGCTGGCTTCGATGATGTGCAAAGCTGGTAAGAATGGCGGGTATTTGGTGATTTATTGGGGGCCTGGGTGTTTTATTTTTATCTTAGACATTGTAAAGCATTGTCGTAACTAAACTAGAATGCTTAACAGAGTGAAAACAGTGATACAGCTTTTAGAGACAACTAATTTATAATGAGAGAACAGTGCGGAGAATTCTCCCTGTTCCCAGCTCCCTACAACATGAGGGAATGAGAACAACCTAGTTTCCTAAATTCTTTGCTTAAAAAATTACATTGAAATGACAAGTTACAATCATATTTAGATCGTTTTTAAAGGGGAAAAAGGCATTTGGAACCGACTACTCTAGCACAGCAGCTGTTTTTATCTTAGCCTCTTCCCTTTCCCAGGACAGGTTGGCATATTTTGCAAACCATATGTATTATTTTGTGTTGTACATTTTCAGGTAATATCCTAAGTGTCTCATGCTTGTTTCTAAATAATCTTCAGAGTTGTTATTGTATGTGTGTGTGCATGTGCCTGTGTGTACAGTCACGTGTCGCTTAATGACGGGGCGGTGTTGTGAACAATGCATTGTTAGGCGATTTTGTCGTTGTGCAGACATCATAGAGTGAACTTAACACAAACCTGGTTGGTGTAGCCTCCTACACAGCTAGGCTATGTGGTACTAATCTTACGGGACCACCGTCGTACATGCAGTCCATCCTTGACCCACACGTTCTTATGTGGCCCATCACTGTATGTGATTATAGAAGGCACGTATCACAGAGCATTTGCACAGAGAGAAAAGAATAAAAAGTCCCCATAGCACTATACTTTGAGACTGACACTATAGAATCAGTTTTCTACTGTAACATTCCAAAGAAGGCAAAAATAAAACAAAATTTGATAAAACCTGAACCCCAGCAACCTCAACAGCATACCCTTTTGAAAACTCTGTGACAGGTAGCTGTCTGAAGGGAGCAGGCTGGCTCACTGAGCCTTCCAGAGAGGTTTTGCCCCTCTCTTCTAGCCTTTCTCTTGGGCAGGCCACCAGTCTCACTTTCCTGCTCTTTTGGGCAAGTTTTTTTTTTCCCCCCCAAAGCCCCAGTAGATAGTTGTATGTCATAGTTGCACATCCTTCTAGTTGCTGTCTGTGGGACACGGCCTCAGCATGGCCGGAGAAGTGGTGCGTCGGTGCGCGCCCGGGATACGAACCTGGGCCGCCAGTAGCGGAGCGCACACACTTAACCGCTAAGGCACGGGGCCGGCCCTGGGCAAGTTTTGCTTTAAAAAAATTTTTCCAATTGAATTTTCCTTATACTTTTCTGGTGATCACTTAAGATATCCTTTAAGGAGCCAGTGGGGGCGAAGGTTCTTCATTTTCTCCAATTACTGGCCTTTGCAGTTTGTCTTAATATGGCTTTGCCGGAAACTTCAAGGAAATGTGATTTGCTCTAATAGAATTATCAGAGACATTTCTTCTTTACTATTATCTTTGCTATTTTAAGACTTTAAATTGATGTGAAAATCATGCATCTCTGTGTAAGAAAAACCACCCAGTCTTTCCCTTCTGAGTAGGGAATAGCCCAGTTCTCCACCTCCTGTGTGTTTCCTTTTCTATTCACACAGAACTCTTCACTCTGACACTACTGACACCAAGTGTGTAGGGGTTTTTCCCTACACCTAGCAATTCTCCACGACACGTGTTCGGTGTCCTACAATTTGACTCAATTTTGACACTATCTGTCTGGAGATAGCATCAGATTCCACAGGTTAAGGGCTCAGTCCCACAAGACTGCCCCCAAACCCCTTCAGATGCCAGTCTCAAGTCCAGGTTGTCACCTGTGCCTCTGACGGGTTGACTATAAATCTCAGGTTCCCACAACCCCCTCCTTGGGTTCAATTAGTTTGCTAGAGCAGCTCACAGAACTCAGGGAAACTGTTTACTTGCAGTTTACCAGTTCATTATTAAAGGAGATGATAAAGGATACAGATGAACATCCAGATGGAGGAGATGTGCAGGGCAAGGTATATGGGAAGGGGTGTGGAGCTTCCATGCTGTCTTAGGGTGCACCACTCTCCCTGAACCTCCACCTGTTCACCAACCTGGAAGCTCCCCAAAACCTGTGCTATTGGGGTTTTATGGAGGCTTCCTTACAGGGGCATAGTGGATCATTAACTCCATTTCCAGCCCCTCTCCGCTCTCTGGAGGTTGGGGGTCGGGGCTGACAATTCCAAGCTTCTCATCATGGCTTGGTCTTTCTGGTGACCAGCCCCCATCCAGGAGCCATCCAGGAGCCCCCCAGAGTCACCTCAGTAGAACAAAAGACGCTCCTAGTGCTCTTATCACTTGGGAATTTACAAGGGTTTTAGGCTCTGTGCCAGGAGGTGGGAGCAGAGACCAATATATATATTTTCTATTATTTCACACTCACATCGTACTAAAAAATCTGAGAAATAAAGATGCTGAGTTTTTTTGATGAGAGAGCAATTTGTAATAGTAATTTATTATATATAGTATTTTATATAGTACTTATTCATACAGTGCAACTGGTTAGCAAACCATTTATATGTTTTGTCTCTGCTTTATTTTCAAAGGTCTAACTCATCTTATTACTATGGATTTACACCAGAAGGAAATTCAGGGCTTCTTCAATATTCCTGTTGATAATTTAAGAGCATCTCCCTTCTTATTACAGTATATTCAAGAAGAGGTGAGCTAAGTCAAACTTTTTGTTTTGACGTTTTGTTTAACAGTTGAAAGATACATTTCCATTTCCTTGGGCTGTCCATAAAGGATTAATACTTGATATTTCCTGCTTAAAGTACTATTGTACTTTATAAATGTAGTTCAGTGTATTTAAAAATTCTTAATGTGCAATTTATTTCTTTTACTAAGCTCTTAAAATTGCTTTTTCTTCTTTTAGACCTCGGGTAACTAGAGTTGGACTAGTCGTGATCGTGGCAAATAACTCTCATCATTTGGTCCACATGGGTCCTGGCCTTCTTTTATGTATCCATCTCTTTGCATTGTCTCTCTGTCCATCCATGTATAATAGTCAGCACCGCGATCCACCACCCAACAAGAAAACCAGAATCATCATTATAACCTGCAGCACTCACGTGGTCCATCTCTGTCCCATGCCCCTGCTTCCTCCCACCTGAGGGAACCACCATCCTGAATCTTGTTTTATCTTTCTCTCAGTTTCCTTTTTATATAGATTTATCTCATATGTATTTTTTAATATATATATTTTTAGTATATATTTAAAGACAAAAAAAGTATATATTTTTTAACTTTATAAAAAAATCAAATTGTGTAATCTTTTGGGAATTTTGCACTTGATACTACATTAGTAAGAGTCATCCATATTGTTGTGTGTCACAGTTCATCCATTTTGACTACTGAGAAATACTTACTGTGCAGTGATTATCACAGTTTATTCATAAAGTTTTGGCTGGTGTGATAGTGCTCCTGTGAGCATTCTTGTATGTATCTCCTCTGGTACATAAGCGAAAGGGTATCTTGGTTATATACCTAGGGTGGAATTGCTAGGTTGTGTGGTGTGTTAATGTTTAATTTTTCCAAAGCGGTTATACCAGTTTATATTCCCACCAGCGGTGAATTAGATATCCTGTGGATCCATCTTTGCTTCAATACTTATATTACCAGAATGTAAAGTTTTTGCCAGTGGAATGGCTATGATATGGTATCTTGTTGTCACTTTGGTGGATATATCTCTGATGACTTATGAAGTTGAACATCTCTTCATATGTTTCCTCTTCTGTCCTTTAATGCTTTGGTTTGTTTCTTTCTGAGCTATAGGCATCCTTGTTTTATTCTTGATTCTTGCCATTTGTTAAAATTTGTTTCACATGTATCTCTCAGTTTGTAACTTGTCTTTTAGTTTTCTTTAGGGAGTCTTTTATTTATTTATTTATTTAAATTTTTTGTTTATTGCAGTAACATTGGTTTATAACAGTGTATAAATTTCAGGTGTACATCATTATACTTCTATTTCTGCATAGATTACATCATGTTCACCACCAGAATACTAATTACAACCCATCACCACACACATGTACTGAATTATCCCTTTCACCCTCCTCCCTCCCCGCTTCCCCTCTGGTAACCACCAATCCAATCTCTGTCTCTATGTGTTTGTTTATAGGGAGTCTTGATAAGCAGACGTATTCAAATTTTTTTTCATTGAGGTGAAATTCACATAGCATAAAATGAACCGTTTTAGCACAAACAGTTTAGTGGTATTTAGTGCATTTACAATGTTGTGCAACCATCACCTCTATCAAGTTCCGAAACTTGTTCATTACTCCAGAAGAACACCCTCTACTCTTTAAGTAATCACTCCTTATTCTTCTCTCCCCTCTACCTCCCTGGCAACCACTAATCTGCTTTCTGTCTCTGTGGATTTGCCTATTCTGGATATTTCGTATAAATGAAATCATACAATATGTGACCTTTTGTGTTTGGCTTCATTCACTAAGCTTGATGCTTTCGAGTTTCATCGACGTTGTAGCATGTATCAAGACTTCATTCTTTTCGATGGCTGAATAATATTCGATTGTATGTATATACTACTCTTTGTTAATCCATTCATTCGTTGATAGACATTTGGGTTGTTTCTACCTTCTGGCTATTGTGAATAGTGCTGCTGTGAACATTTGTGTACAAGTTTCTAAGGGAACGTATGTTTTCACTGTGGACATATCTTTCATTTCTTGGATATATACTTAGGATTGGAATTACTTGGTAATATGGTAATTCTATGTTTAACTTTTTGAGGAACTACCAAACTGCTCTCCAGAGTGGCTGTACCATTTTACATTCTAACTAGCAGTGTGTAAGATTTCCAATTTGTTCATATCTTTACCAACATTTATTTTCTGGTTTTTTTTCTTATAGCCATTTTAGTGGTTGTGAAGTGATATCTCATTGTGGTTTTGATTGATTTGTTATTTCACTAATGACTAATGATTTTGAGCATCTTTTCATGTGTTTATTGGCCATTTGTATGTCTTCTTTCAGTAAATATTCAAATCCTTTGCCCATTTTTAATTGGGTTGTTTGTCTTTTTATTGAGTTGTAGGAGTTCTTTATATATACTGGAATCTACACTCTTATCAGATACATGATTTGCAAATATTTCCCTCCATTCTGTAGTTTGTCTTTTCACTTTCTTCATAGTGTCCTTTGTTGCACAAAAGGTTTTACCTTTGGTGAAGTCCAATTTATCCATTTTTCTTTTGTTATTCATGCTTTTGCTCTTATATCTAAGAAAACATTGTCAAATCCAAGGTCATTAAGATTTACCTGTATGTTTTCTTCTAAGAGTTTTATAATTTTAGCTCTTATGTTTAGGTTGATCCGTTTTGAGTTAATTTTATATATGGTGTGAGGTGGGGATCTAACTTCATTCTCTTGCATGTGGTGTCTAGTTGTTCCAGCACCGTTTGTTGAAAAGACGATTTTTTCCCCATTGAATGGCTTTGTCAAAAAACCCTTGCCAAGAAACAATTGACCCTAGATGTTTGGGTTTATTTCTGGACTCTCAGTTCTATTCCATTGGTCTATATGTTTATCCTTATGCCAGCACCACACTCAATTTTGATTACTGTATAGCCTTATAGTAAGTTTTGAAATTGGCTTTCAGTTCCATATGAATTTAAGGATTTGCTTTTCTGTTTCTGCAGAAAAGGGCATTGGAATTTTGATAGGGATTGCATTGAATCTGTAGATCACTTTGGGTAGTATTGCATCTTAATATTAAGTCTTCCAACCATGAATATTAGATACTTTCCATGCATTCAGGTTTCTTTAATTTCTTTTAGCATTGCTTTGTAGTTTTCAGTGTACAAGTCTTTCACTTTTCTTTGTTAAATTTATTCCCATGTATTTTATTCTTTGGATACTATTGTAAATGGAATTGTTTTCTTAATTTCCTTTTGGATTGTTCATTGCTGGTGAATAGAAACAAAACTGATCTTTGCATGTTGATCTTGTACCTTTGACTTTGCTCGATTCATTTATTGGCTTTGATAGTTTTTTTGTGTTGTATGTGGATTCTTTAGGGTTGTCTAGTATAACATCATATCATTTGCAAATGGAGACAGTTTGACCTCTTCCTTTCCGATTTGGGTACCTTTTATTTCTTTTACTATCTAATAGCTCTAGCTGTTAGATAACCTCCGGTACATTGTTGAATCCATTGTTGAATAGCAGCAGTGAAAGTGTGCGTCCGTGTCTTATTCCTGATCCTAAGGGGAACGCTTTCAGTCTTTCATCATCGAGTCTGATGTTAGCTGTAGGATTTTCATAAATACCTTTTGTCATGTTGAGGAGTTTCCTTCTATTCTTAGTTTTCTAAATTTTTTTTTTTATTATTTTTATTTTTTTGTGAGGAGATCAGCCCTTTGCTAACATCTGCCAGACCTCCTCTTTTTTTGCTGAGGAAGACTGGCCCTGGGCTAACATCCATGCCCATCTTCCTCCACTTTATATGGAATGCCGCCACAGCATGGCTTGACAAGCAGTGCGTCGGTGCGCGCCCAGGATCCAAACCTGCGAACCCCGGGCCGCCATAGCGGAGGGTGCGCTCTTAACTGCTTGTGCCACCGGGCAGGCCCTCTAAATGTTTTTATCATGAAAGGGTATTAGATTTGTCAAGTGCTTTTCTGCATCAATTGAGATGATCATGTGGATTTTTTTCCTTCATCCTATTAACGTAGTATATAACAATGATTGGTTTTTCTCATTTTGAACCACTCGTATTCCTGGAACAAATAAGACATACTATATCATTTTAATCTAGTAATATTTGTTATTCTTTGATATGATAGCATTTTTGTGCCTTATTATTTAAAAAGCCTTTTTAAATGTTAACTTATAATGCAGTTAGCTATTTTGCTCTTTTAGGAACTGTTTTCCTCACATGAATTATTTCTGTCTTTAGTAACTTTTCCAGAGAACTCTTTTTACAATAGTATATTTAAAAGATGGCAATTTGTAGATTTCTGAGCATCTTCTTTCTGTCAAGAGTACAGGCCTTCCCCATCCTCCAGCAATTAACGTAGACCCTCATTAGTGAAAATGAATTTAAGTATTTTTGAAAGAGAAAAATATAAAATATTCTACTTGTTTTCTTTAAAGTTATATACAAAAAACATACAAACTCTAATAAATTCAGAAAATAATATAGAATATAAGTTACCTGAATATGATCCTCAGGTGAGAGAAAGAGAGGGTGAGTGAGCAATGGCAGATGTCTTGATGGGGGAGGAAAAGGGGGCCAGGCAGAGAGAAGAGTGAGAGGGTGAGCCTTGAGCATGTAGTATGTGGTCCAGTTAAGAACTGTCTAGATAAAGACACCTATAGTTTTGGAAGAAATAGAGCACTCGGTGTAGACTTTCATAGGCTAATGTTTACATCTTGTGATTTTGGGGGGAGTTTCCGCTCAAGGTGCCCGGCGTGTTGTGTGCTGACGTCTCGAGGCATAAATGGCAGTAGCGCCTCTTGAGAGGCGCCCTAGGCCTGGTGAGTCAAGACTACAGTGCCTTCGTGCTGGTCCCGAGGTCAGGTGCAAAGCTGCTCCAGCGGCTCTCATGTTGCCCTTGGTGTAGGCTCTGCCTCAGTACGAGGCTGCCTGCTGCTTGAGAAGTCCCATCTTAGGTTTTATCATTGAAAACAAGTCAGGGTTGAACTCTCTCTTGTACTGTTTCTGGTTCAGCAAACTAGGGAAATGGTTGTTTGTTTTGATGGTGAGCTGACAGTGATAACTCCGGACATTCATAAAAATAAATCCTTCATTCATAAAAATAAATTAAAACAGACTATAAAAAATGAAATACTATAGGGAGCTCACTGTTAAAAAGGAATTTTGTTCTCTTTGCTTTTCTGTAGTGTGCTTGTTTTATGCCTTTCGTTTTCATGTATTAGGGCTTCTCGAGCAGGAGGTAAATAGACTGTATTTTACTGCATCTAAGGTGCCATCAGTAAGGTTTACATTATTTATGTCATCAAGAAGGAAGAAAACACTGCCAATTATACTGTGACACAATGCCTTTATGTCACTTAGTGAGGCTATTCTGCGAGTTGTGATGCTGACACTCTCCTGTGTGACAGCTCATACTGTTTCTCTTGAGGTCACTGGAATTGACGCACTCTGCTGGAGTCCTAGTCGGATGCTCATTGGCCTGAGACTTTGTCGTCTGTTGTGAGGGTTTGGCAGTTTCTCCTGCCTGCAGTTGTGTTGCTCTCCATGTGTTAGGTGTCCTTTTCAGGTTCACTCGTTTCACAACTCTACCTGTTTTAGGGGAGTCTTCCTTTCCTAGGGCTCATAAAGCATTTGATTGTTGCCTTGTGAGGAACCATGGAATTGTGGTCGTGCTTCCAGTGATGACCATTTGATTCACTAATGTGAAATTTACACCCTGCTGCCCTCTTCCCGTGTCTCTCTGCGTGCATGGTAACTTTTCCTTTTAATGCTGAATCATAGTGAACTCTTGCTGGAGTCATTTTAAATGGCAGTTAAACCCAGCGCATATAGAAGCGACAGTGCCTGTGACTCATTTGAAACGAGGGCCTGAGGAATGCCTCAGCCTTCTCCCCGCGTGTGAAGGGGTAACAAAGCACGTCGCAGCTGTTGTTGGGCCGACAGCGGCTGTAGGACACTACCAATTGTAAGACATCCAAGTTGTAGGCGTATTAAAACATGACCAAAAAATGGTTTGGGTGTTGATAAATATAGTGCATGTTTTTAAAAAATGACAAAGTATTGTAGTGATAGTTGTAGTAATCATTGGTCTGTATCAGGATTTTTTAAGGAAGAGAAGGGCTACAAGTGTAGTTTTATATTGCGCATAGAGATCCCATCCTATCTCATCAATTTTTTAAATAGGAACTTTTAGAGTTATCCTGGTTCTGATTCTGGGGTTGCTTTTGTTTTTCCCAGTGTTCTTCTTAGTGTGTTTATATCAGGCCACTCTCATTATCACAGAAATGAGATATGTCAGGAAATGGAAAATGAGGGACAAGGGGTATGGCAGAGGAGTGTTGGGTGTGGGGCAGTTTGATTCTTTGTGCTTCCACATGTGGCCCTGATGATGTTTTCCCTTAATGTCTCAGGGGACAATTACGATAGAGTTTGGAAGTCAGACTTGTATGATGTGTAGTGTGTTTTTCCCCTTCACTTGATAATAAGAGTAATCTTTTCCTAAAAAGTGAAAATGAACATTTATGTTTATGATGCAGTGTAGGGAAATGCGTGTTTGTGTACAGACGTGCTGGCAGTCCTGCGACGGCCTGGCTTCCCTGGACCGCCACCCTGGTCCTGGGCCCCTCTGCAGGGCGGCCTTTGTTACCAGCCTGCTTTGTGTCCTGTATGCTCTCGGGTCTTTCTCTGTGTGTTTACCTCCTTGTCTGTAATACACAGTTAGAGATACTGATCTGTGGGGGCTTTTTTAAAAAAAAATTGACATATTTGCATTGTTCTGCAGCTTGTTCTTTCCTTTCTCATGCTGGTATCTGGAGGTCTTTCCCTGCTGGGATACATAGGTTTACCTCTTTCTTTATAATGGCTACGTAGTATTCCTTAGTTTAGATCAGCGATGTCCAACAGAACTTTCTGTGACAGTGAAAATGTTCTGTCCGCCGTCTAGTACAGTAGCCACTAGCCACATGTGGCTACTGAGTCCTTGAAATGTGCCTAGTGTGACTAAAGAACTGAATCTTTCATTTTATTTAAGTTTAATTTAAATATAAATAGCTACGTGTTTAAATGTTTAAAGCACAAGTTTCAATGAGCCACAGTTTTTTCAACCATTTCCCTCTTGATTGGATATTAGGTTGTTTTACTTTTTCACCCTTTTAAGTGAAATATTTTATTTTAAAAAAATATTTAAGTAATGCTGCATTGAAAATTCTTGTACTTAACCTTTCTGAGTACTTAGATTAGTGTTTTTCTGAGATATATTAGGAAGTGGAATTGCTTAATTGGAAAGTATCTACATTTTTAATATTTTAATAGCTATTACAAAAATTGCAATTTTCTGAAAATTTAATATTTTAATACATATCGTGAGAATTCCAGTTATCAGAATGGATAGTATTAATTTACACTCCCAGTAGCAGTGCATGTGATAGTACCTGTTTCCCCATGCCCTTAATTTTGCCAATTTAGTGGGCAAAACAATACTATATTATCTGAATTTTTTAGTTCCCTGATTTCTAGTGTGATTGGGCATCTTAGCATGTGTTCTTTTTGGGGGGTGCAGAATTTCCCCCATCTAAGATAGTGTTTTATCTTTTTGCTGTGGTGTTGGAGTTTCTGCATGCCATGTCTGGGTGGATCCTTTTTCCATTCATTTTGCTGGATACTCAGTGGGTCCCTCATTCTCTGGGAATTTTTTTTTCTATAGTTTATTTCATCCCTTCTTTTTTTTTTTTTTATTCTTTCCTTTGGTAACTATTAGGTGTTGAAAATTTTGGATCTAGTCTCTATATTATTTAACTTTTTTATTATTTTTTTTCAAGTTTTGTGTTCTCATATACTGCATTGTGGGAAAATCCTTTGGCCTGATGCCCAGGTTTGTTCTTCAGCTGTGTCCATTCTGCCATTAGGCAGCCAGCTGCTGAGTTCTTATTTGGACCATAATAACTTCCGCCTCCATAAGAGCTTGCGCTCTCTTTATGCCTATGATTTTCTGTTTTAACCCCTGAAGAGACAGTAGACCTGTTTTTATTAAAGAGTCCTTTCTTTTAAAGTCTCCTTTTATTTGCTTTATTAACTGTTTCCTTGATTTTTATTTATTCTCTTGGCTGGGTTTGGTGCTGTTTGATGAGACAAGGAAGTACATAAAACCATTTAGAAAGACTTCCAGCAAAAATGAAGAAAGTGCGTAAATGAAAATAGTTTTTGCTGCCTTACTCCCTGATAGGGTGGGGTAAATTAAGCTTTCCTGGAGAGACACCTGATCCATGTGCTTATGCTAGATGTATCTATAATAGAATCTTCTTCAAATCAATCAGTTTTTTGTTTGTTTACTGAGTATTTATTACTTAATGCTTCCTATGTGCTAGGCATTGTCCAAGGTGCTAGATGTTATTAAGTGCTTATATTAAAATTCATTGATCTGCATAATTGTAGGAAGCAATGGGGATATATTTGAATGAAATAATACACTTTAATTGAAGTGATTGAATTTCAAGAACATAATTTGAAAACATTGCCAAGATGAAGTTGGAAACCACAAACCTCTGCTCAGCTTGAAACTGGCTCTGGCTTGTAAACTCTCAGAGGTTGATACTGGGTGTATCTTCAGTTATAATCATCACCAGCACAGATCACTTCCGATGTTCAACAGTAAAAGACTCCAGTGTAGACCGGTATTGTAGTTACTTTCTTAAGGGCTCTTGCTGTCTGGATGAAGCGGCACTGGGCTGACTGTCCTGTAACAGGTGGGTTTCTTTAGTCTGCCCTGACTGAGACAGCTTAAATCATGGTGTGTTTGGAGCGCACTAATCTGGAATTTGACGGTTACCTCGGATTCAGGTTGGATGGATGTTGTCCTTGCACCATGAAATTACATGTAACTGGATTCATGAGAGGGCTTCCTGTTGGCTTTATGAAAACGCCTTTATCCCACGTTATCAGTGTATGCTGGCATCACTATTAGCCCTACGTTTTTCTTTAAAGAAGTCTGTGAGGCTCATACCTTAACAATATTTTTTTCCTAGGCAGGCATTTCTTCATTTTTCCAAAGGAGAAATTTACTTCGAACTTTTTCTCTTTTTGGAAAACTTTCAAGTGACCAGATGACATTTTTGAGTCTATCAAAATGTTCCTTTTTATTGAGTGTCGCATGTTGCTGTGAATAGTGTTGTGGAGATGTGGCGGTAACCCCCCACCTCTTGTCTGTCCCAGATCCCAGACTACAGGAATGCGGTGATTGTGGCCAAATCTCCAGCGTCGGCCAAGAGGTAAGTGGGAGCTCTGACTGCTCCTCGGATCTGCCTCCAAGGATCGCATCCCCAGTCCGATCCCTGGCGCTCGGCATTCTGCCTCAGTGGTTCCTGCTGGTGTCCCTGATTTTTGTTCTGTGGATTGATAGTCTAAAAGATTGCCAACTCCATTTATTAAGTAATGATTTACTTTCCTCTTTTTATTTCAATCCCAGTCTGTGACTGGTAGTCGTGTGTCTTGACCAAAGCCATCCGAGTGTGGGGCAACCTGACCTAATGCTTCCCAGATTGGCAGCCACCTGTCGTTGATCTTCCAAGCTGGCGTTTAAAATACTGATGAATATACTTTGTGGTGGTTTACTGCCTTTTATTCAAAAAACCTCAGTGCTTTATTAACAGAATTGTATCCAGCTGAGAGGACACTTATTGGTTTGTGTTAGAAGGTGACGTTTTACAAAACTGAAACACCCTGAGGTGACGACTGGGGCAGTGCTGAGAATTACTTGTGACCTGGAGTAACTGATGAGTCCTTAAAATTGTGGTTGGGGGGCCGGCCCCGTGGCTTAGCGGTTAAGTGAGCGTGCTCCACTGCTGGCGACTCGGGTTCGGATCCCGGGCGAGCACCGACGCACCGCTTCTCCGGCCACGCTGAGGCCACGTCCCACATACAGCAACTAGAAGGATGTGCAGCTGTGACATACAACTATCTACTGGGGCTTTGGGGGGAAATAAAATAAATAAATAAAATCTTTAAAAAAAAAAAAAAAAAAAATTGTGGTTGGGTTGAGAGGGTTTCAGATACTAATGTTTCCTGGAGAAGCCACTCCGTTGGAGAGGGAAAGAGCAAAATCCCATGTAGGAATGCAGTCTTTTTCCTAAAAAAGATCTTTTAAAATTATTTCCCACAATTGAATACTTTTGCTCACTGGACCATTGTTGAGTCCTGTGGAATGAAAAAAAGCATAGGTACCTCCATCCTGGGCCCACAGACTGTTACTATGCACATAGTAAGCTATTGATTTAAAAGATATGACAGATAAGTAGTTTTCTATTATAAAATAATAATATTTTGTATGTTGGGTAAATTAAGTTGGCATTTATGATGAAACCATGAAGTTGCCATGTCCTTAGAGCCAACCTTGCGGAGCAGGCCAGACTGTGCCCACCCACACTTCCTTCAAGAAGCTCCATCATCGGAGTCTCACATTGTCCCTTGATTAAGTCATAGTAAACCATGACTCATTTTGGAATATGAATATTTTAAACATGTTTTCCAAGCATTTGTGCAAAGGCTGAATTCATTTTAATTTAGTAATTTATTTTCCTCTGATATACTTTTTTTTATTAAGGTGAAAATCATACAGCATTTTAAAGTGTACAGTTCACTGGCATTTAGTGCATTGACAATGTTGTGCAACTACCACCTCTCTCTAACTTCAGAACTTTTTCATCATCCCAGAAGAACACCCTGTGCTCCTTAGGTATTGACTCTCCACTCCCTTCTCCCCTCATCCCCTGGCAACCACTAATCTGCTTTCTGTCTGTGTGGATTTGCCTATTCTGGGTATTTCATATAAATGGAATCATACAATATGTGGCCTTTTGTGTCTGGTTTCTTTCCCTTAGCATAATGTTTTCAAGGTTCATCCATATTATAGCATATATCAGTAATTCATTCCTTTTGATGGCTGAATAATATTCCATTGTGTGGATATACTACAATTTGTTTATCCATTCATTCATTGACAGACATTTGGGTTGTTTCGACCTTTTGGCTATTATGAATAGTACTGCAGTGAACATTTGTGAACAAGTTTCTGTGTCGACATGTTTTGGTTTTTTGTGGATGTATACCCAGGATTGAAAATGCTGGATCATATGATAATTCTGTGTTTACATTTTTAAGGGACCACCAACTTGTTTTCCAGAGCAGCTACACCATTTTACGTTCTCACCAGCAATGTACAAGGGTTCCAATTTCTCCACATTCTTACCAACATTTATTTTCTGGTTTTTGAATATAGCCATTCTACTGGGTGTGAAGTGGTATTTTATTGTGGTTTTGATTTGCATTTCCCTAATAATTAATGCCGTTGAGCATCTTTTCATGTGCTTGTTGGCCTTTGGTGTATTTTTAGAGAAATGTCTTGTAAAGTCCTCTGCCCATTTTTCACTTGGGTTGTTTGTCTTTTTGTTGTTGAGTTGTAAGTGTTATTTATATATTCTGGATACTAGACCCTTATCAGATATATGATTTGCAAATATTTTAACCCATTCTGTAGGTTATCTTTTCCTTTTCTCGATAATGTCCTTTGGTGCACAAAATTTTTTAATATTTTTGAAGTCCAATTTAGCTTTCTTGTTGCTTGTGCTTCTGGTGTCATATCTAAGAATCCATTGCTAACTCCAAGGTCACTAAAGTTTTACCCCTATGTTTTCTCATAATAATTTAGTTTTAGCTCTTATATTTAGGTTGTTGATCCATTTTGAATTAATTTTTGTATATGGAGTGAGGTAGGGGTCTAGCTTCTTTCTTTTCCATGTGATTTTCCAGTTGTCCAGTCTTTTTTGAAAAGACTGTTCTTTCCACATTGAATGACTTTGGCACCCTTGTCAGGAATCAGTTGGCCGTAGATGTTTGGGTTTATTTCTGGACTCTCAGTTCTTTTCTGTTGTCTGTATGTCAGTACCACACTGTTTTGGTTACTGTAGCTTTGTGGTAACAGTCAGATCTAAACCATCAGAAGTGGGTGAAAGTGAGGGTGCTAGCTCCCTGCTGGTCCTCCACCGACACCAGGGTGGAGTGGCCTTGTTACCGCTGGGTGTTGGTGGAAGCCCTGAGTCCAGTAGGCCTTGTCTGATACCAACTCAGTGGGGAGGGAGAGGCACCTCTTTACTGCTTAATTGGGGTGAAAGTCCAGGTTTCACTCTCCGCTGGCAGTGGGGGGCGGGGGCTCATTACGTCTGAGTAGGGATAAAAGTCCCAGCTCCCTGCTTGGCCTTATCTTAAACCACCCCCTCAGGGGCTTTGGGGTGCATCATTGTAGCTGACAAGGGAAGAAGTATAGCCCCTCTACTTGGCCTTTGCTCATGTGGGGGAGGGGTGCAGCCAGTTTCTGTGGTGTTGGGCTGGAGAACAGTTATTGTCTTAAAGTTTTCTTTCTTTCTTTTTGTTTTTTCTGTGAGGAAGATCGGCCCTGAGCTAGCATCTGCCAATCCTCCTCTTTTTGCTGAGGAAGACTGGCCCTGGGCTAACATCCATGCCCATCTTCCTCCACTTTATATGGGACGCCGCTGCAGCATGGCTTGTCTTCAAGTTTTCTGACTTGCGAGGCTGATCCTTTCTTGCTCCTTTTGCTAGAGAGAGTGGGCTTTTGTTTGGGCTTTTTTGTTTATGCCTTTTGGCATTTTGGGGTTGTCTACTTCTCCAGCTGCAAGCCTGGGATAATGAGGCAAAAAGAAAGCCCGGAGGATTCCCCAGCAAGTCATTCCTCCGGTCCCGAGGTCGCTAGCCAGTCTGCTCTCTCCTCTCCACCAGTAGAGTCTTCTTCTTTTTTTTTTTTTTTTTTGTGAGGAAGATCAGCCCTGAGCTAACATCCATGCCAATCCTCCTCCTTTTTTTTTTCTGCTGAGGAAGACTGGCCCTGAGCTAACATCCGTGCCCATCTTCCTCCACTTTATGTGGGACGCCGCCACAGCATGGCCTGACAAGCAGTGTGTAGGTGCGCGCCCGGGATCCGAACCCAGGCTGCCAGCAGTGGAGCTCGCGCACTTAACCACTACGCCACGGGGCCGGCTCCCAGTAGAGTCTTCTTATGTTTGTTTCACATGTAATATCCAGGGTTTTAGTTGTACTTAGTGGGAGGAGTACTCTATCTTAGCAGGAGCAGAAGTGGCAGCAATGTATTTTGATAACTTTTTCCCACTAAATACCAGAAGAATATGATGAATTTTCTCATCCATCTGATGAAGACTTGCCCATCTGGGTAGGCTTCTGGTAACTTCTTTATTCCTCAGTTTACTTCTAACATCAAGTGTTGATGATGGATGGAGGAGTGGTAGCGTTTTTATCCCTGTGGTAGTCTTTTGCTCAGTTTCAGTACTACAGTGATGTTTGTCACTTATCCACTCAGACGTTTATTGAGAGCCTGTTGTGCTAGGTCCGGGAAGGCCAGGAAGATGCCCTTAGGGGCTTGTTTTAGTGTCGGACGTTTTATCTGCTGTTGTGGACTAAATGTCTGCCCCCCAAATTCCTGTGTTGAAATCCTAGCCCTGAGTGTGATGGTGTTGGGAGGTGGGGCTTTCAGGAGGTAATTAGGTCATGGAGGCGGAGCCCTCAGGTATGGGATTAGTGCCCTTATGAGAAGAGACACAAGCGCTTGCTCTAGCTCTCTGCTCTCTGCTGTGCGAAGGTAAAATGAGAAGATGTCTGTCTGCAAACCAGGAAGCGGGCTCTCACCAGGTGCTGATCTGCCGATGCTTTGATCTTGGACCTCTAACCTCCAGAACTGTGAGAAATACATTTCTGTTGTTTAAGCCACCCAGTCTGTGGTATTCTGTTACAGCAACCAGAACTGACTAAGACATCGACATGATCACTTTTGATCTTCTCTACCTAGGAGATCAGCATTTATTGTCTCTCACAGTTGAGGAAACACACCCAAGGAGATGAAGAGACTTATCCAAGGTGATTCAGCTGTATGTTCTTTTTTTATAATTTTATTTATTTATTTTTTCCCCCCAAAGCCCCAGTAGATAGTTGCATGTCATAGTTGCACATCCTTCTAGTTGCTGTATGTGGGACGCAGCCTCAGCATGGCCAGAGAAGCGGTGCGTTGGTGTGCGCCCGGGATACGAACCCGGGCCGCCAGAAGCAGAGCGCGCGCACTTAACTGCTAAGCCCTGGGGCCGGCCCAGCTGTATGTTCTTTACTGTAAGGTAGTGGCACAACTTAATTGCTTCTTAGAGTGCTTTCCACACCAGTGATTATGAGATTTGGGTGTTGGCGAAATATGATT